CCCTAGCCGTTTTAATATTCCCTTCCCTCCACCCCATCTTTTTATTATATTTTTTTTTTTTAATAGGAAATTTTTTTTTACATAATATGGTACGAAAATTTAAGAGATACATTGTTCATTAAAAAGGTGGTATACGGTAAAGTTGTTACGTTTTTGTATCACCGATTTAAAGGGAAAAAATCTTAAATATTTATTTTTATCACAGGCCGATTCCCACCAAGGCAGGGTGGCCTGAAAATGTAAAACGTCCCCATCATTCACTCCCCCACTGCTTGCCGATGGGGGGCTTTAACCCCACAGTTTTTAAAAATGCAAAATTAACACTCCCCCTTTTAGAGTGCGGGCCTGTCTTTTCCCCTTCCGGACTCGTCCGGGTGCCCATTTCCCCGAACCCCTTTATAAATGTTGCTTTCCTCACCTCCAACAGCACGTCAAATATTAAAAACCCTTTTTCTCCATTCACCCCTTTTAAAACACGCTCATGCATGCCTGTTTGGAAGCCCAAAGCCCCTCGCACAACAAAACCTCCTTTACCCCCTCTCTCCAACCTTTCCTAGGCCGACCCTACCCCGCCTTCCTTCTACTACAGATGATACACTCTTGAAGTCACTCTTTTTTCACTCCATTTTCTCTACATGTCCGAACCACCTCAACAACCCTTCCTCAGCCCTCTGGACAACATTTTTGGGTAATCCCGCACCTCCTCCTAACTTCGAAACTACGAATTCTCTGCATTTATATTCCAACAAACATTGCCTCAGACATGACATCTCCCTGCCTCCAGCCTCCTCCTCGCTGCAACATTCATCACCCATGCTTCACACCCATATAAGAGCGTTGGTAAAACTATACTCTCATACATTCCCCTCTTTGCCTCCAAGGACAAAGTTCTTTGTCTCCACAGACTCCTAAGTGCACCACTCACCCTTTTACCCTCATCAATTCTTTTGATTCACCTCATCTTTCATAAACCCATCCGCTGACACGTCCTCCAAATATCTGAATACATTCACCTCCTCCATACTCTCTCCACCCAATCTTTCATCACCTAATCTTTTTGTTATCCTCATAACCTTACTCTTTCCTGTATGCACTTTTAATTTCTTCTTTTGCACACCCTACAAATTTCATCCACCAATCTCTGCAACTTCTTTCAGAATCTCCCAAGAGCACAGTGTCATCCCCCAAAGAAAAACTGTGACAACTCCCACCCTTTATGTGGTGATTCTTTATCTTTTAACTCCCCGCCTCTTGCCAAAACCCTCGCATTTACTTCTCTTACAACCCCTCTATAAATATATTAAACAACCACGGTGATATCACACATCCATGTCTAAGGCCTACTTTTACTGGGAATAATTTCCCTCTTTCCTACATACTCTAACTTGAGCCTCACTATCCGCTTAAAAACTCTTCACTGCTTTCAGTAATCTACCTCCTACACCATACAAACCCGCAACATCTGCCACATTGCCCCCCTATCCACCCTGTCATAAGCCTTTTCCAAATCCTTTAATGCCAGAAAGACCTCTTTAGCCTTATCTAAATACTGTTCCTTTTATGTTTCACTGTAAACACCTGGTCAACACAACCCCTACCTTTCCTAAAGTCTCCTTGTTCATCTGCTATCCTATTTCCGTCTTACTCTTAAAATTCTTTCACTAATTACTGTTACAATACACATTACCAGGTATACTCAACAGACTTATCCCCCTATAATTTTTGCACTCTCTTTTGACCCCTTTGCCTTTATACAAGGAACTATGCATGCTCTCTGCAATCCCTAGGTACCTCACCCCTCTTCCATACATTTTTAAATAATTGCACCAACCCCTCCAAAAACTATATCCCCACCTGCTTTTTAACATTTCTATCTTTATCCCATCAATCCCGGCTGCCCTTTCCCCTTTCATTTTGCCTACCGCCTCACGAACTTCCCCCCACTCACAACTGGCACTTCCTCACTCCTACACGATGTTATTCCTCCTTGCCCTATACACGGTTCACAGCTTCCATATCTTCATTAACATTTAACAATTCCTCAAAATATTCCCTCCATCTTCACAATACCTCTAACTCTCCATTTAATAACTCTCCTCTCCTATTTTTAACTGACAAATCCATTTGTTCTCTAGGCTTCCTTAACTTGTTAATCTCACTCCAAATCTTTTCTTATTTTCAACAAAATTTGTTGATAACATCTCACCCTCTCTCTCATTTGCTCTCTTTTTACATTGCTTCACCAATCTCTTAACTTCTCTCTTTTTCTCCATATACTCTTCCCTCCTTGCATCACTTCTACTTTGTAAAAACTTCTCATATGCTTACTTTTTCTCCTTTACTACTCTCTTTACATCATCATTCCACCAATCGCTCCTCTTCCCTCCCACACCCACTTTCCTGTAACCACAAACTTCTGCTGTACACTCTAACACTAACATTTTTAAACCTACCCCAAACCTCTTCGACCCCTTTGCCTAACTTAAATTAGCCCATCTATCCTCCATAGCTGTTTATATCTTACCCTAACTGCCTCCTTTTTTTAGTTTATAAACCTTCACCTCTCTCTTCCCTGATGCTTCTATCCCCTTGTATCCCATCTACCTTTTTACTCTCAGTGTTGGCTACAACTAGAAAGTGAATCTGATATATCTGTGGCCCTCTATGAACATGTACAATCCTGAAGTCTACTCAACAGTCTTTTATCTACCAATACATAATCCAACAACTTCTGCATTTCGCTCTACACATATCTGTTATACTTATTTATCCTCTTTTTCTTTTAAAAAAATGTATTCCCCTATAAACCCCTTTCTTTTACAAAGTTCAATCAAAGGGCTCCTATTATCATTTCCCACCTGGCACCCCAACTTACCTACCACACACCCTCTCTAAAAGTTTCTCCTATTTAGAATTCAGGTCCCCTACACAATTACTCTCTCACTTGGTTTAAAGGCTCCTATACATTCACTTTCCATCTCCCAAAATCTCTTTTTCTCCTCTACATTCCTCTCTTCCCAGGTGCATACACGCTTATTATGACCCACTTTTCGCATCAAACCTTTACTGTAATCCACAATAATTCTTGAATTTACACATTCATATTTCTCTTTCTCCTTCCATAACTGGTCCTTCAACATTACTGCTGCCCCTTCCTTTGCTCTAACTCCTCAGATACTCCAGATTTAATCCCATTTATTTCCCCCCACCGAAACTCCCCTACCCCCTTCAGCTTTCTTTCGCTAAGGGCCAGGACATCCAACTTCTTTTCATTCATAAGATCAGCAATCATCTGTTTCTTGTCATCCGCACTACATCCACGCACGTTCAAGCATCCCAGTTTTATAAAGTTTTTCTTCTTCTCTTTTTTAGTAAATGTCTACAGGAGAAGGGGTTACTAGCCCATTGCTCATGGCATTTTAGGCGCCTCATACGACACGCATGGCTTACGGAGGAAAGATTCTATTCCACTTCCACATGGACAATAGAAGAAATAAAGAAGAACAAGAGCTATTTAGAAAAAGAAGAAAAACCTAGATGTATGTATATATATATGCATGGGTGTCTATGAAGTGTGACCAAAGTGTAAGTAGGAGTAGCAAGATATCCCTGTTATCTAGCGCGTTTATGAGACACAAAAAGAAACCAGCAATCCTACCATCATGCAAAACAGTTACAGGTTTCTGTTTCACAGTCATCTGGCAGGACGGTAGTACTTCCCTGGGTGGTTCCTGTCTACCAACCTACTACCTGTATCTATATATATATATATATATATATATATATATATATATATATCCTCAGAGAAGGCAATAGACGTACCTCAGGGAAAACTCAAGGTTCTCCCCGGAGCTGTTTGAATATATATATATATATATTTTAAAATATATATATATATATATAATATATATATATTTATATATATTATATATATATAATATATATATATAATTATAGATGTAGTATATAAAATTACATACATATATACATATGTAAGTCATACAGCTACGAAGATAGAGATATAAAATTTAATGTATTTTATGAGGCACAAGATCATTGTGTGGGTCGTTTAGGAACACATGTGGTACTGAAGGCTTGATCCACCCCAAATGTATTTTCCCCTCTTGATTGAAGCCATGATGTGCGGAATGCAGTAGAGCAATGCGCACAGGTGAGTGATGAGAATGAATGATGCCTTGTTGTAAAGGTGCTAAAATGATGAGAATGAATGTTTCTAGTGAAGGAGCCAAAGTGAGGAAAATGAATGATGCACTGTAGTGAAGGTTCTAAAGTAATGAGAATGATGTAGTGTGTGGACGGTGCTAAAAATAAAGAGAATGAATGAGCAGTAAAGTGAAGGTATAAAAGTGATGAGAATAAATGATGCCCGGCATTGAAAGGCCCTACCCCTGATGAAAATGATAGTGTAGTGAAGGTGCCAAAGTGATGAGAATGAATGACGCAAGTGTAGTGAAGGAGCAAGGGATGAGAATGTTTGTAGTGAAGTGAAGGTGCTAAAGTGATGATAATTTATACAGTGTAGGGATAGGTGCTAAAGTGATGATAATGATAAAGAGTAGTGAAAGTGCTAAAGTGATGATTTAAACTTCAGTGTATCAAAGTAAAATGAACTGATGATAATGATGCAGTGTAGTAAAGGTGCTAAAGTGATGACAATGATGCAGTGTAGTAAAGGTGCTAAAGTGATGATAATGATGCAGTGTAGTAAAGGTGCTAAAGTGATGACAATGATGCAGTATAGTGAAGGTGCTAAAGTTATGAGAATGATGCAGTGTAGTGAAGGTGAAAAAGCGATGAGAAGGAGCAGTATAGTGAGGATGTCAAAGTGATGAGAATGATGCAGGTAGTGAAGGTGCTAAAGTTATGAGAATGATGCATAATAGTGAAGGTGCTTAAAGTTATGAGAATGTGCAGTGTAGTGAAGGTGAAAAAGCGATGAGAAGAAGCAGTATAGTGAGGATGTCAAAGTGATGAGAATGATGCAGGGTAGTGAAGGTGCTAAAGTGATGACAATGATGCAGTATAGTGAAGGTGCTAAAGTTATGAGAATGATGCAGTGTAGTGAAGGTGAAAAAGCGATGAGAAGGAAGCAGTATAGTGAAGATGCCAAGGTGATGAGAATGATACAGGGTAATGAAGGTGTTAAAGCGATGATAATAATAGAGTTTAGTGAAGGTAATAAAGTGATGAGAATGATGCAGAATAGTGAAGGTGCTAACGTGATCAGAATGATGCGGTGTAGTGAAGGTGCTAACGTGATCAGAATGATGCGGTGTAGTGAAGGTGCTAACGTGATCAGAATGATGCGGTGTAGTGAAGGTGCTAACGTGATCAGAATGATGCGGTGTAGTGAAGGTGCTAAAGTGATGATAATAATGAAGTTTAGTGTAGATGCAAAATTGATGATAATGATTCAGTTTAGTGAAAGTGCTAAATTGATAATAATGATACATTGAAGTGAAGGTGCTAAAGTGACGATAATAACACAGTGTACGGAAGGTATTATAGTGACGATAAAGATGCGTGTAGGGAAAGGGGCTAAGTGGCGAAATAACACAGTGTAGGAAGGTATTATAGTGACGATAATGATGCAGTGTAGTGAAGGTGCTAAAGTGGCGATAATAACACAGTGTAGGGAAGGTATTATAGTGACGATAATGATGCAGTGTAGTGAAGGTGCTAAAGTGACGATAATAACACAGTGTAATGAAGGTATTATAGTGACGATAATGATGCAGTGTAGTGAAGGTGCTAAAGTGACGATAATAACACAGTGTAGGGAAGGTATTTATAGTGACGATAATGATGCAGTGTAGTGAAGGTGCTAAAGTGACGATAATAACACAGTGTAGGGAAGGTATTATAGTGACGAAATGATGCAGTGTAGTGAAGGTGCTAAAGTGACGATAATAACACAGTGTAGGGAAGGTATTATAGTGACGATAATGATGCAGTGTAGTGAAGGTGCTAAAGTGGCGATAATAACACAGTGTAGGGAAGGTATTATAGTGACGATAATGATGCAGTGTAGTGAAGGTGCTAAAGTGACGATAATAACACAGTGTAGGGAAGGTATTATAGTGACGATAATGATGCACGTGTAGTGAAGGTGCTAAAGTGACGATAATAACACAGTGTAGGGAAGGTATTATAGTGACGATAATGATGCAGTGTAGTGAAGGTGCTAAAGTGACGATAATAACACAGTGTAGGGAAGGTATTATAGTGACGATAAATGATGCAGTGTAGTGAAGGTGCTAAAGTGACGATAATAACACAGTGTAGGGAAGGTATTATAGTGACGATAATGATGCAGTGTAGTGAAGGTGCTAAAGTGACGATAATAACACAGTGTAGGGAAGGTATTATAGTGACGATAATGATGCAGTGTAGTGAAGGTATTATAGTGACGATAATAACACAGTGTAGGGAAGGTATTATAGTGACGATAATAACACAGTGTAGTGAAGGTATTATAGTGACGATAATAACACAGTGTAGGGAAGGTATTATAGTGACGATAATAACACAGTGTAGGGAAGGTATTATAGTGACGATAATGATGCAGTGTAGTGAAGGTGCTAAAGTGACGATAATAACAGTGTAGGGAAGGTGCTAAAGTGACGATAATAACACAGTGTAGGGAAGGTATTATAGTGACGATAATGATGCAGTGTAGTGAAGGTGCTAAAGTGACGATAATAACAGTGTAGGGAAGGTGCTAAAGTGACGATAATAACACAGTGTAGGGAAGGTATTATAGTGACGATAATGATGCAGTGTAGTGAAGGTGCTAAAGTGACGATAATAACAGTGTAGCGATGGGTGATTAAGAGATAATAATGATACATTGTTTTGAAGGTGCTAAAGTGATGATAATGATGCACTATAGTGTACTATATGTGAAACTGTAATGTGTACATGTGAATGTATAATGTGTATTACATGTGAAGGTGTAATGTGTACTTCATGTGAAGGTGTAATGTGTACTTCATGTGAAGGTGTAATGTGTACTTCATGTGAAGGTGTAATGTGTACAAGTTAAGGGGCCGACCGTCCAATTAATTTTTGCTTTTTTTTTACCGTCAGATTTCCTTGAGTTTTGGTGCACAAGACGAAGTATTTTTTCTAGTTAT